AGATATAAATCTGAACCAAATTTTGAGTCCTAACTCCTTGACAAATGTAACCTTTCAGAAGTGACTCTTAAATTTTAAGCTCGATGAAACTCGCATGATTTAGAAGGTCGCAAAGAAGCCTGGTCAACTTTTAAACACAGGCCTTTGCAAATTATGTAAAATGGTTGTATAGAAACAATAGATCACTTGGTTTTTGAATGTTGTAAATTTAACAATATTAGAGATGCAACTTTCCAGGAACTTAATGAGTACAACCTTGATATATTTTGGGATATGTTTACTTCAAGTTTAGCAGATTTTAGGCATAATCTTTTTTTTGATGACCTGTCTATCCATAATTTTAAGTGTAGGCCTATTCATAAAAACAGGAATTTCTATTCTTTTGTCTGGTTTACTGAAGAACACACGATCGAATCGGACGGCAAATAAACATAGGGAGTCCCCGAATTGGTTCGCACCTTACTCTTGTAAACAGTTACGACTCAAAATTGAACCACGGGTCACGAAGCTGGATTAAATTAATAATTTTACTGTTTTATTAATAAAAGTAATTTAACTTGGTACAGTTAGTATATATTTCAATCATTAAACAATTATTAAATCATTGTGTTAACTTTTCAAATATGATGAGCTAGAAACATTTGTACTCTTTTCACTCGACTCGCGTCATTTTTGAATGACCACACTTGAAGACGACGTTGTAGTATGAGGCCTACGTCAAAACATGCAGCAATTCCCCCCTAAAACTAGCATTCATTTATCACGAAAATCAAAACAACATCTAGGCTTAAGCCTGTATTTTATCAGACCTGAAAAACCCTTGGGTCATGAGAATCTGGAGATTTTTTAAAGAATCTTAAAAAATCTGGAGATTTACCAAAAAATCTGAAGGTTTCCAGAATTAACCAAAAGATGATGCAATATACCAAAAAAGTCACGTACCGTAGTCGCGCGAATAAGCGCCCCGTTTGAATAAGCGCCCCTCTCGAATAACCGCCTAACCTCATAAGATTTTCTTTTTAGCAAGTCAATAATCCAGTCAATCCTGGGACTGTTTGTTGTTGGCATGATTTGAGCTGTAGAGTTGATCGGAAACACATTCTTCTTCGGTCAATATCAAAATGAGGATATTTCTCTTGGACAGATGAGAGCACCGATCCCTGGACAGACAGTATATTTCCAACTTAACTCTTTTTACATATTTGTCTATGCCTAGTCCTACTCCTCTTTTTCTTTTTCCGACCTTTAGCACATTCTCATCTGAGAAAGAAAGAATACAATGATCCTGCCATCCTGCTAATCTCAATCGGCCGATGGCCAACAACCTAACCACCCACCACCACTAATTACATCTGCTATTTTGCTGTTATGTAAATATTCACGCATTCTAAGACTTGTCATGAGCCATCTCTGGACGATCACTATCTTTTCTAACCACCATTCGTAATGTCCTTATATAAAAGTGCCTCTTGAATTTAATAATTTCCCTTAAGAACCCCTCGATTTTCATCTATTTCCATAAGCGCCCCCTCAATTTACACTCTGTTTTCATAAGCGCCCCGTTTAAATAAGCGCCCGTTTGAATAAGCGCCCCTCAGAATAAGCGCCTCTCAGAAAGTGCAGAAAATATTTTAAGCGCCCGGGCGCTTATTCGCGCGAGTACAGTAACTACAAATTATTGGCCGTTGGTGGCGACATTCGAATTGCACCGCGAAACGAGCAGGGTAGCGAACACATTGAATAACTAGAAATTGCAAATAAATTGCAAGTGAAGTGCTGCGAAGTACAACTGCATATAAATGTTCTTCGAACAAAATTATTTATGCGAGTCAAGTGAAAATAATGAATAATAAAAATATATCAAATAATATGAGACACGACCCATTGTAAATATTAGAACACTTCTCATTGGGTAACAAAGTCGTAATTTTTCATTTTTGTCAAAAAGTGTCTATAGTGGTGAATTATGGTTTAGGTTTTTTTAAATAAAGTTTCAAAAATTTCCATGTACCCTGTATGTGGAAAATGTAGTTGATTACCAAAGGTTACACTTTTTATTTTGAAGACTGCATGGTCTAGGAAGTGTACATTTTTTTATGGGGCACGTTTCCAAGGGCGGGTTTTCTGGGGGCGAGTTGATTGCCAAAGAGTGTTGCCAAAGTGCGAGCCAGCGTGTTATTTGATCACAAGTGCGAGACATCAGGGTGAGCCGGCGAGCCATGACGTCACGACAATAGATACGAGACGTTAACGAGTTGTGCTAGGTATCGGCTGAGATTTGAGGAGTACAATTCAAAAAACAACTATAGGTCTAATAATGAATTATTGTGGTGTTAAAATAGCAATGTTAGCTATCAAGGAGCGGCGTTTTTTCCATTGGGACTTTCGTCCCTTCAAGGCTAGGCCTATACCATACTAGCTAGTCTAGGCGTAGGCTAGCGCGACATGCGGACGTTGGTTAACGTCGCCTAAAGTAATTGATTTTACCCGAAAGAAGGAAACTCCGCTTTCAGTCGTCTTAGGCCCTTATTTTTTGACAAACAATGACCTTTCAGAGGTCAAATTGCTGTCAAGAATATGAATTGGCTGCTTCGCAGCAATAACGATCAAATCAATTTTTGGGGAGTGGGGTGGCCTGTAAAATCGGGTGAACATTCAATCGGGCGAACTGGAGATTTGTTAAATATCGGGTGACACCCGACAGGATCGGGTGAGTTGGCAGGTCTGTTTTATTGCAGGGGCGGATTTATGGGTGGGGGGAAAACGCCCCCCCCCCCCTTTTGGGAGGTAAAAAAAAAAGGAAGAATTAAAAGAGAGAAAAAGAAAAAAATGATAGCCCAGAATGCCTCAAATGTTATGTTTGGCCGGGCGTCTGGAACACAACAATTTAGTGGGGGGGGGGGGGGCATGCCCTGGACCCCCTACGACAGTGTTGTCTCAATCGGCCCAACTTTTGCACCTTACTACAACGTATAGGATGTAGCAGTAAACAACCGCTTGTCGGTGATATAATAGCTCATATACAGTAATAATAATATGCGTGTATTTTGTGTAAGATATTTAATCATCATGAATAAAGTAAGTCAAAACAAATAGTTTTAATTTTTTATTTCAACACATTTGCTGTATGTAGCGAGTACGGGCTCCGTGGTATGGATGGATGAATGCAGAGAATAGGGCCTAGCTAGGCCTAGGCCCACTCGCGGGATTCCTCCTCGCATTCTCGCTCTTACGTTGTGGTAACAACGTGATGCCGACGCTAATTTTGAGGGCTGCTAATATGTTTTGAATGTTTATTTAATAATTACTCTCCGAATTTCCAGCGTATGATACCCTAGGCCTTAACTGAGAATATCGTAAACCTGTGAATCTTACTATCTAATAAATGTTTGTGTTGCCAAGAGTCGCGATCCCGCGAACATCCTTTGTTATGTTGTACCGAGTGTATGTCATATCCGGTAAAGGTCAAATACGGGTCAGATTCAGAAGGCGGTGCTTAATTGCGATACAGAATTCATCAAAATAGGTAATTTAAAATTCGTTTTTCAGAAAAACGTGTTATCTAAAAATAAAAGGAAAGCCACCGATATGTTTA